ATAAGCAAAATTAGCCCTAACTAATATGGTGATAAATACTACAATTTTTACAATCTTTATACGATATATAAAATCTGTGCGATAAATATCATATGCCATACACACTTGAAAGGTATCTGCAAGATGTTTATCGTTTTGATATATTACAATGGAAAATTCACTCATAGTATGCGTAAATATTTTATATGATCCATCGGGAGAAAATCAGATTTTTTTGTTAGTAATGCAGGGCACGCTGTATGTATCCTCACAGTTGAAGAGTTATTTCTCCAAGCCAACACAAAACACAACAACAAGAAAACCTCATCTGAAACAAGAAGCAAACAACCCATCCCCTTATAAAGCCTAAAACTTGAAAATAATGTTAATCATCATATGGAATTTAATGTGTCCCGTGAGTGAAAATCCATGAAAAGCGGCATAGGTCCACAAGTAAAAATAAAGTAGTCGAAGAAATCGTACTCACTATAGAAAATTAATGGTATAACTTTTAATATGGTGATAATGAAAGTGATAACATTCATTCTTTACAAACTTTTGTTTTAGTTTTCCTTTGTTATTTGAAAAAGAAAGAAGATATAAGCCTTATGAAAGCCGCGATTACATATGCTGACACTGCTTTCTTTATCATTTTTTTTTGGATTTAAACGAGGTTTATTAGAATTAAAACATTGTATATCCGGTAGCAGTCTCAATCTCAGTCTGAAAAAGGTTTCCCAATTGATAAAACCAAGCAATTTACACGTTATTAATTTGATCATATTTGCCAAACTCCTCACAGTGATTACCTCCCTTGGCAGAAATATAATCACTGCCTTCACAGACGTCAATGATGAAAAAAAGTCACATGACGTAACGTAAATTCAAAGGCTGTGACTAAAAAAAGGATTGGAGCACCACACTTAATACCGTATTCCGGTATATACCGGACAAGGCGCTTGAATGATAAAATGCTAAAATCTTGTCTTTTTACCCAACGGAATGAACTTTAACAGGTCTAATTCATCTTTTCACGCCGAATCAAGTACGATAATCAAGGAAAAATGTAAAATTCGGCGAAAAAAACGATATTTGTCTATTTTGTGATCATGATTTCTGCAAGCGTCTAGAGGTACTGCTCCAATCCTGTATTGAGCTAAATCCAAATTCAAATGTAAATATCGAGCGTTAAATAGAAAATCTAACGTCATTTTTCTCTTTCTGTTTTATTTTTAACTTTACGTACCTAAATTTGGTATGGTTTAACAAAAATGTACCATAAGTACAAATGAAAAACAAGAGCCATGTCAACATGGCCATCCCCCGCCGAATGTGTTTGCTCATTGGAAGAATGTATATGTAGTAGAGCGGAATAATTCCATTTTAAGAGGTATTTTGGTAATGAAAACTGATGGCTATAGTGATTACAGATTTGAAACCTATGTGAATACTGATGGCTGAAAATAACAAAGGGCAATTACTGAAAAATAATGCAGGGTAGGTTATCATTCTTGTGTGCTGCATCCCTCCTCAGTAAAATTTATCCACCTATGAAGTTTCAAGTTGATACCTCAAATACTTTTTGAGAAAAAAATTGAATTGAAAAATTAAGTATGAAAAAGAACAAAGGGCAATAACTCAACAATTATAAAAGGTAGAGTTATCATTCTTGTGCAGTGCACACCTCCTGAGTGAGATCTATGCGCCTATGAAGTTTCATTTTGATATCTCAAAGGCTTTTTGAGTTATGCTCTGGACAAAAATTAATTTTGAAAAATAACAAAGGGCAATAACTCAAAAATAATGCAGGGTAGAGTTATCATTCTTAAGCACTGCACTCCTCCTCAATGAGATCCATCCACCTTTGAAGTTTCAAGTTGATACCTCAAATCCTTTTTGAGATAAGCTCTGGACAAAATAGCATGGAAAAAAAGGGCAATAACTCAAAAATTGTATAGGGAAGAGTTATCATTCTTGCGCACAACATTCCTCCTCAATAAGATCTATCCACCTATGACATTTCATGTTGATATCTCAAACACTTTTTGAGTTATGCTCCACTCAGGTAAAAAATTAGGTATGAAAAATAACAAAGGGCAATAACTCAAAAATTATGAAAGGTAGAGTTATCATTCTTATGCACTGCACACCTCCTGAGTAAGATCTATGCACCTATGAAGTTTCATGTTAATATCTCATAGGCTTTTGGAGTTATGCTCTGGACAAAAATCAATTTTGAAAAATAACAAAGGGCAATAACTCAAAAATCATGCAAGGTAGAGTTATCATTCTTGTGCACTGCACTCCTCCTCAATGAGGTCTATCCACCTATGAAGTTTCAAGTTGATAACTTAAATACTTTTAGAGATATGCTCCGGACAAAAATGTCGGACGGACGGACGGAAGGACGGAAGGTCGGACGGACGGAGACTATTTCTATATCCTCCGCCGAAATTTTTCGGCGGGGGATAATAAGTTCAGCAGGTAAAAAATATCTAATATATCAAAATATTGATAAAAATGTTAGTGATGACAGAGATATCTGTACTGATAAGGGGAGATCACTGCTTAGAAGATTGCATATTTGCTTACTTTCATAACCTTTGATTGATTGTGCATACATATTATCAAAATAGGTAACACATATATAAATGAGATATCATCTTAAGCATGCCTATAGAATCAATAAGCATCTTCACAAATTTTTATCGACCTACGTCCAAATTCTTGATTTCACATTTTATTTTTGAAATTTTATTTCACTGTTTTTTGTTTTTTTTAATATGCCCGTGCGTATTAGCGTTTTATTGGTACACCACTGAATTTAAAAATTTAAAACCGATTAGGTCTATGGAAGCACGGTTTTCGATGACCAATTTTCCATTAGATTCCCAATCCTTAAATATATATTAAACTATAAAGGGATGGGGTACTTTAATGAAAATCAGCCTTCACTGTAAATATTGACAATCTTTCAAATGATGACAGTAATGCTATAGGTACTCAAGTTAAAGGCCCATACTGTCTCGATATTAATGTTTTTGTTACGTTTCAAAAACTTTTCATCTGGATATCTTGATACAGTTCCCAAACATTTACTTTTTGACCATATAGATGAACAATGCTTTGCTTCTTTTGCTCTCTGGACATTAAAATTATTATAGTGATTTAATATTTTACATGAAAGTCAAAATATTACTTTATTTAAGACACAGTAATGCACATCCAATATTCCGCCAATATTGAAGAGCATAAGAGATTTATAAAACTGATCATTCAAAGAGCATGGGACATGAACAATGAATAACAAAACATAATTTCAAAACAAATTGCACATGTTACACATTCCGTTCATTTGAAACAAATATCATAAAGATATATGCTGATATCTACATGTATCTCATGTTCTGTATTAACTCGTGGATAGGCATTATTCAGAAATAAAGATACGCTAGGATGACGTGTACGTTAATAATAATAGGTTTGGATAACATTAAATCCATATAATGTAATAATAAAAGTTTAGGACGACATTAAGTTTATGTAACAAAATAAAGAAATAAATAAAAAAAATCTCTTGAAACGAAATAGCAAACGAAATAGCAAAATGATGGCTAAGTTAAACTAGAAATGTGGCCGAATGTTGATTAACATTCCTGTAAATTTTGTTGATTCTAGGTCAAGTACTTTTAGAGCTACATGCGACACAACATGAGAATGCACGGACGGACGGACAAGGGCAAATCATATTGCACCATCTTAGAGGGGCACACAAATGTATACCGGGAAAATAATCAACTGTTGATGGTTTTTAAGAAAAGACGACATTCAATAACATACTGTATCATAATTACGATCAATTATTTACAGACGAAAATATAAAAAATAAAATAAAAATAAATAAATAAAACATGAAAAATAGCACATGAAAACAGAATAGAAAAAATGAATACAAATAGTGTTTATTCTGTGATTAAAAGATGATTGCAGAATTCCTAGAATTAATGAAATTCATCAGTTTATTTTATTGACAGCCAGTTGGGCATCTGTCAAAACATCGTTAAACCAACTAAAATGTCAGCAGAATATTTTGTTCTTGACCACTTCATTCTGATTACGTACACTATTCATGTCATGTACAATGATTTTCAATGTTTAAATATCTAGCCTGTTTGTCAATCCAGCCAGTTTGTTCAATTGTTTAGAATAACGCCGTTAGGCGAGTGTTACACAAATAAATCAATCCTTTTTAGACATTTTTTATGTTCAATTTTGCAACAGACATTCAGTTCAGAAAGGCGGCGCTATGTGTATTGAACAGTTTACCTAGGCCGCGCTATAGAAACATCAAATGAATTATCTCCGTACAAAATCGTTAATTGCTAAGGGATAACAAATAGACAGGAATGCAAATAATGATATCTAGAATCATTTTTGTCCAATAAGTATTGTTCTATCAAATGTTACCTTACATTACAAAGAATAATCACACGACTTAGATTTTCATCTTGTCAGTTTTGGGACCAAATCTGATAGATAAATATCACGAATCATACACACTTGAAAGGTATCTGCAAGATGTTTCTCGTTTTGATATATGACAATGGAAAAAACATTCTTGGTATACGTACATATTTTGAATGACCATTTAGCTCAATAGAGAGAGAATCAGAATAATAAGTAATGCAGGGTGCACTGCTTTTATCCTCGGTCGAAGAGTAATTTCTCTTTGACAATTGATCTAGGACATTGAGTCATATGGTCACTGGTTTAGAAATCTTGGACAAGTAGTCAGTCGCTTGAGGAGTAATAAGTAGTTTCTAACTAGTTATAAAAAGCTGCTTAGGTTGATATGTTAAGAAATTGTGTTAAAATCGGCGTAATAATACACAAACAGACACTAACAGACCTAAATACCTAAAAAAAACACCCAGAAACAAAAAAAAAAACCCACCCCTCAAAAACCATAACAACACAACAAGAACAACAACAAATAAACCCAAAACATATACACATGAACTTGTCAGAAGCTAAAGCTTGAATAGAATAACTTGTACATGTAAAATCATTCCGGAAGAGGAAATTGCAAATTCGTTTTGCGTTTTGAACATTTGTATATATGTATACCTATACAGCGCTCGTAGGAAACGTATTCATTATAGAACATTAATGTTGTAACTTTGATTTAATATGGTGATAATGAAAGTGATAACATTCGTTCTTTACAAATTGTTGTTTCACTGTCCCTTTGTTTCTTGAAACATAATGAAGATAAAAGCCTTATGAAAGCTGCGATTACATAATAATTTAAAGAAACCGCGAGGAATGCACATCAATGATCATTGACATTAATTAATTAAAACTGAAGGTTAGAATGTTTTAAAAAATCAAGCTCAGTTTAATTTAGACTACAGTACACGTGGTTATTTAGAAATACCTGAGTAATATTTTCTGCCTTCGATTTTGCCTTGTTTTCAACACAGTAGTATGTAGTATTAGTATTAGTGAAATAAATTCTGATTCCAACGTGTTTCAAATGGAATGAATTTTTGTAAGAGTTCAAGTTATTATAGAATCACTTGTAATATGAGAAAATGTTTTGAATTCTTGGACCTGAACAGTTTCGTCCTATTAACGGAATGTGATACTGTTAAACAATGGAACACAAATATATTACTAAATGCACAACAGTCATTGATGTGCCTTTTACCTGATATTGATATTGTTATGCAAGCTTGTTTCCTTTTTTTATACTCATGTAATTTTGAAAAGGAACAACACTTTCACAATTTTGCTTTTCTTAAGACGCATTTCTAACCGTCCTCGAGAGCGAAAATGTGCTCAACGACATACCATTATACAATGGTTCTTCTGTTATTTACCTGCATTTTTGTGATTGAACTTGGCATGGTCTCAACATCTACGGCCATAAATTGGATTAAACTTCGAGGACACTATGTTGAAGACATATGCCCAGCGGAAGATATTCGGTTTGTGAAAGACTCGGTTGTTGCCGCAGTAACATGCGGTAGAATTTGTTATGAGGACGAAGAATGTAAAGCTGTTACGTATCAAGTGGATGATCATAAGTGCACTGGTTGTCGGGAGTTTCTGAAATCGTTACCAACGGTAAACTCAGCTGGATTGCTAAAATATTCAAAAAAAGGTTCGTGAATTTTGAACTATTGAACTATTATGCCTTAAAAACCAATACATTTTTACTTTCTTAGATATGGCAAACATTACTTTTACAATATTTGAATAACGGTCTTTGTGCATGTTTGAAGCTTATTTCCTAAGCAAAAAGTAGCACTAAATGTGAAATAATTTGTCTCAAAATTAACAAAGTGTAAACAAAGTAGTATTTTTACTTCCATACAAAATACTAAACCACTATATCTGTACAAATTGCCAAAGGTCTTCAGAAAAAGATCGGTCAGGTAATTTGCCTATGAGTATCTTTTTGCAACTATTAAAGTACACTTAAAATAAAAAAAAAACCTATACAGAAAGTAAAGTAAAAGCATTTATGGGGCATAATTGGCCTTTTAAAACACGGGAGAGGAACTGTTACACGAGGTATGGAGTTCTTATGATAAGTTGTCAAGGAGTTCTTGTGATAACTGTCACAGAGTTCGTCGGAAAACTATTGTATTTGTTGCAAAAACACTCGTCAAAAATGGTAATTTTCATCTTTAAAAAGTGAATTTTACGTGCTAACTTAAAATTTACTGATAATGCTTGCCTTACATATTTAACTATGTGTTAAAACTAATTCATAGTCCATTTTTCATCGCCTCTTGCTTAAAATCTGGTAGTTTTGAGTAAAATTTCCAAATTATTTGCCAATTAGCAAGTATTGACCTGTTTATTTCAAGTCTTCATCACGACCTTGAAACTGTTTTAACTACACTGATAGCTTTTTATTGAATCAGCAACATTTAGGTAAGGCGTTTAAGGCTATAAATGTAAATGTAATAAATATGATCTAAGTCACAAAACTATTGCGTCAATTATTTAATGCTTTGTTCTTTCTTTTGTGCACTATTCATGTGAAGTTTGGGGAACAAATTGAAAGAATTCAATTTAAATTTTTGAAAATGGTTATTAATTAAAAGTGGTAACGAATACATTTACTATATGTAAATAGTGAAATGGGAAGGTTCCTATTGATTGTAAATAGATATATAAGAATACTAAAATACTGAATGAAAATTGTTAACACTGATAATTAATCTTATTGAAAACGCACGTAACTCAAAACGTATTGGACCTAGAGTCATGAAACTTAAAAGGAATGTTGATCAGCATGTGCAGTTGTGCACCTGTATATTGTCGTGTGGATTTATTCAGTTTTTTTAGTGTTATAGACCCTTCTTAATATTACCTCATACATATTCATAGATTTCTAAGAACGAGGCTAACAGGGCAAGCTGCGGTATCTGCTCTATGTAAACATATCACGATTATATGGCCGAAAGATTTTTCAACTGTGTCAGAGATCTTGAAAATGTTCTGTTTGCTACATACTTGTTAAGAACTATATTTAATGTTAAAAAATCTCTTCTGGAGATAAATAAATCTACAAAGGGTTTAATTTACACTATATACAGTGAAGGACATACAAGACCTGATAAGTCAATTAAAGTTTATGATAATTCCAAGTAATTTCTAATATTCTTAGTCAGTATAAATATCAGGTTAACTCTTTGCAACTTAAATAGACATTATCTGCGTTATCAGTATTTTATTGCTAACCTCAACACATGTTGGTCAAGAGTGTATTAAGCAATTAACTGATAATAGATGTAAACAGTTGGATGCTGAATTCTGTACCATACTTCCCCTAAATTTAGCTATTGAAATAAAAAAGTTTAAAAAAGTTTTATTCACTATGTATTTAAAAGTAAAAAATTCTTGATGACTCTCTAGAGACTATTTTTTTTTTTAATTTTACAGACAGCCTTATTAAATCAAAATGATATTTTGTTTAAACATGATAACCCCGTCTTATACATTTCAATGGATTTTCAGATGTTGTTAACAGCAATGTCAAAATACATTTCGTGCTAAGTAAGGAACGTAAAACTTATATATAATCAACTATTTACTTTATTACAGTATAAAATACTTAGTATATAACGAAATACAATCATTTGATTGCAAATATCAGTCAAATCTTAAGACAAGCTGAAGTATCATTAGATTATTGCACTTGTCCAGTTGGTCCGACTTGATTATGTGGTCATATTGTTGGAACCCTCAACTAGCTGGTATATAACAAATCATTAGGGAACACAGCACTTCCAGATGATGTTGCCTGGACTTACCAACCCCAAATATTCCATGTACATAGGGGACTGAACATTCGCAGAAAACCTGCGCAATACCTTGCAGTTGTAGGGTTTTAGGAAAGGCAGCATCGAGTTTTAGCACTTCTTTTAACATTCCAAGACATATTCTCTCAACAATATAATGCAATAAGAGGACAAATTTTTAATGTAATAAACATGTTGACATATTCCCTGCACCATATATGTAACAAAGCACAATGTTAAAAACAAAGAAATGCGATGATTTCTTTTAAAGTTTTTATTTAAATTCAAGGCGCAAAAGACTGAACAAATGGTCCTTTAAAATATGCTAAAAACATTTCGCCAATCAAGCTGATTGTTTTGCTTGCATCTTTATAAACGCTCTTAATGTTTTTTCTATTGAAAACTGTAATGAATATATAGTAAATTTTGTTGGAAATCCACATGTATAACATTACAAAAAATACAACTGTAAACATTTGAAAATTTGTTTGTATTAAACGTTCAATATCACTGTTTGTTTTCCTCCTTAGTTTTCTGTAACTCTTCTTTGAACTGTTTGATAGTTTCTTGCCACTGCCATGAAGAGATATTTCAATTAAAGGCGATTCAAATATCAATTGTCAATTTGTGTTCATGACTGTTACTAGTGGAATTCCTGAAAAATATATACCTTTTATTTAGAAGTGGAAACAAGAATTATGCCGTTTTTAGAATATATCAATTTATATTCTGATTGCACATGTATTTTTTTACAGGGGCTGAACTTTGTTTATGTGTAAAAAATGAAAATTAAGTCTTGTGTATACCTTTCATCTGGTAATGAAATCTTCTTCTTTAGTGTTCATCTTACTGGTCTGTTGATTATTACTCCAGTCGAACCATCTACAGGGTACATCTGTTCTCTTCAGACATATATGAATTTATGTCCATGGTTGTTAATCTTTTTGTGTGAAATGCTTCAAAACGAGCAACTATTGCAAAATATTGATCTGAAATAGTACATAAAATAACCGTAATTGCTTTTTAGTATAAAAACGGTATTGATTGAGATTCTGAAGCAATTATGTTTTAAATGTTATCATTATAAATGTGATATTTTAAATGAAATTTATGAACAAACATATTGTTATGTTTTTTTAAATGAAACATTAAAACAATGAGAAATGAGAGTAATTAATGTAAGTAGTAATACAACTTAAGTAGCTTGGTTTAAAAAGAAAAGAACAGTGGTATTTTACCTTGAAATGTTCTTTCGTCTATCTTATTTTCACAATCCTTTCCTTTGTTAAACTCACATCCTTAGGTATTTTATGAAAATTAACGGTATAATTATATCTAGAATTGGAATAACAGAGTGGAATAAAAATAGAATTTCCCCAGTAAGTTTAACACACTAGGACTTATCAGGTCAGACATTATTTGTTTACATTCATGCCCTGTAAGCCTCTCTCTGGTGTTGGAATGTAAAGTATGCATATAATTTGAGAAAGGCCTATTGCCCTTGACTTAGTAAAAATTTGCAATTTTCAACTTGTGTCGCACGTAACTCAAAATGTTTTTGACCTAAAGTCATGAAACTTTACAGGAATATACATCAGCATGACTGTGTAGTTGTGCACCTGGGTATTTTCGTCTGGATTTGTTTAGTATTTTTAGTCTTATTGCCCTTGACTTAGTAAAAATTTGCAATTTTCAACTTGTGTTGCGTGTAACTAAAAAAGGATGAGACCTAGAGTTATGAAATTTTACAAGAAATTTATCAAACTTTTGAATTCTTGCGATAGGACTGAGCTCATGCAATTGTTCATCAAAAACGCACTTGCTTTAAGAAATTCATTATCAACTTCAGAGAAATAACTACAACACGTGTTTATGCATGATAAATTATCTTTATTTATATGTACCAAATTTTCTAACTTTACTGAAAGTCTATTCTAATTGTCTCTTACTTTGATTCTTCGATGTTTAAAAAATGTTTTATAAGCATAGTTATATACATATGTATAATTTCACGTAAGTGTGGTGGTGAACACTGGGTTCGTACTCTCAGTGCCTGAAAGGGCGGATGGACCATAAATACATGGTGTTGAACACCCATTTCTCCATCTCCATCGTACAAATACGGAGGAGCATGAGTGCCAAGTGTATGTTTTTTATTAACTCAAAATTTCGAGTTAGTTATTCGAAATTTCGAATTACTAACTCGAAATTTCGACTAACTCATCTCGAAATTTCGAGTTAGTAACACGAAAATTCGGTTTACGACATTGATTAGTCATGTATTCACAATCACTGATAGTTTATCCCTGATGGAACACTGATTACTAGTATGCATATTAACTGAAAGATTTTTCAACTACAGTAAAGTCTCGCTATTGAGACCACTTTGGGGTCCTGGTAAAAGTGGTCTTATTATCGAGTCTGTCTTAATTTGGAGACCCGTGCTAATGTTTACTATTAATATGTGTTCTGGAGAAGGAGGTTATCATTAGCGATTGGGATCATTGAAACATAACTGTTTGAATAACATAAACCAATTAACATGTATTTTATTCAACAAAAATATGATTTATTGAGAAAAAAAAACATTATTTATTTTCGAAAGTTTTCACAAGAAAATTTCATTTTAATCATTGTTGTTCAGTTGTTGAGTTCTGGTGATCTCTTCATAATCATATTTGTTTGGTGCATTATTCCCCCACCCATCTATATGCTAATCCTTTTATTTCAGGGTTATCCGGACCTAAAAGTAAAAAAGAAATGAATACGTTTTTAGTTTAAGTAAAAATATATCGTATCTGTAACTGTTTAAATCTCTATTGTCTTTTGAAACTTCATGAATCAACTT